GATGCCCTTTATAAGATTTTAAATCCTCCGTCGCAGTTTTTAACTGATGGAGAATTCAACATAACCAAAAACAAATCTACACACTTACCCCACAGGCAAAGGGATAGCAAATGAGCCATCAACTTCGCCAGGACTAACAACCTTTAAATTTGATCCAAAAAGTATGTTGCACTGAGAGAGAAATGAGACGGTGCAAAATGGTCGAACAAAATCATGGTTGTCGATGTGTGGAGGTATGCAGTCTCCTTCTTCATAAATGTTTACAATGCAACTATCTGGCACACATGTGGGAGGAAGCACATGCCACCTTATCAGCCGCCGAATCATAACCTCGAAAAGATCAGGCAAGGGATCTACTGTCACTTCAGGAAGAATGCCCAGTGGGTTACCGTCTTTATCCCGTGAATAGTGCAAAGAATGTCGCATTGCAACATTATGAATTCCAGAGCACTATCAAATTCATCAATGGATTCGCCCAAGTATATATATGAACCTTCGAAATGAAGACGTCAATATATGATTTTGTAATAAAAGTAAAGGCAGCATAAGAGATATACTGACCACTGCATAATTGTAACAGCATCCAAATTGGATAGTTTGACGTCCCTTGCCTCTCATCCACTTATGGAGAGCCGAATACGTCCGACCTGCAAGAGTTTGGAAGAAGGATCATTATGTGGTCCCTCAGAAATGATATTCAATTCTAATAAACGAAAACTAACATTCAGTTCTTAAAACCCTGAGGAATGCAATGTATAGATAATTGGATTCATTATTCAATGTAATACTCGTAAAGATTTCACATGTAATTAATTAAAAAGACACGGATTATCTACCAAAAAAAAAAAGGACACGGATTAATTTGTTAGAAGGAGCAGACAACAAACCTTGCAGTTCACCATTTTTACCCATCTCCTGCAGTGAAGTAACGTAATTGACTATACTGATCTGCTCAGCAGCACTGAAAGTACCCTCATGAAGTTCGAGCCCTTGAAGAATGTTCACCATTTTTCCTTTTGCTCTCTCAAAGCATGCGAAATCTTTCTTGCTCCTGATATTCATAAATCTGATGTACTCTCGCTGCTCTTGAGACAACTTAGGCTTCTGATCGAGGGATTTCTACTGTCACCGAAGGACTAAAATTATTCGCTTTATTTTCTTCGTCCCCAAATTCATCCTCCTGTGTCATGTTCGCCCAAGACGTACGCGAAGTCGGGTTCTCTGATGAAGGTGAATAGCAATCACAAGCTACTTCCTCTGTAGAAGTTCCCGACACAAGTTGAGATTCAGACGTCTCATATACTTCATCCGAGTGATTTGTTTTCTCTTCATCTTCCCGACTCCCGGTAGAATTCGCATCACAACCATCGCGATGATTTTCTGTCGTTTCATGTGATCGCGCATCATTAGAATTCACTGGGAGTATCACCATTAGACTCTACGGGTTGTAGGAAACAAAGACATCAACTAGGTGAACAATCAAAGCGTCATAGTACATGTAAACGAATAAAAAAACAAGTTGCAGTATTTTAAAGCCACGAGCTTCAGCGACAGAGAAAACACATTGATTGTGAATAGTCAAGCCCTGAGAGGTCTAACAAACCGAGAACAAACAAAAAGCCAATCGGAGTAAAACATGAGAACGCCCTTTGATATTGTGAGTAAAGTGGTTTTTTTTCGCCTGGGCTGATAGAACGGATGCGATCGGAAAGAATTTGAGTGCAGTGCGGGCACAGTTCTCTGGAAAGAATCAAAAAATCCATGCACGTTTAGCGTAGGGAAAAACAGAAAAAGAGGAGAAAGTGCGAACAGAACAGAGCTACAGTAGCTCGCGCCTTCGCCGGATTTGAATTTGATTACAATAACTCTGTGGGTAGATGAATAATTTAAGTAAATTAAAAAAATTAATTAAATTAGTTATTTATAATGAATAAGTATTTTTAATATGTATTTTCTGTTGGTAGTTAAGTATTTATAATCTTACTATTTTTTCGGTTATCAATATGTATTTTAAAATTAAAATTTAAATTCCCATAAATTAAATTAAATTAATTATTTAGATGGCAAATGAAAGTATGATACCCATATCATTAATATTAAGGAGTTTTTTAATGGCAAAAAAAAATATTAAGGAGTTTTAGTAGGTCTTAAAAGATGTTCCCATATTTATTTTCTGTTAAGGAAGTTGCGCATGAGGACAAAGCAAAATAGGAAAAGGTTGACGCGGGCACGCAGCTTCAGATCCCGTCAAAACATGCTGACGTCACCTTCTTCTCTTTTTTTTTTTTCTATCTCTTTATTCCTAAAATCCGTATTAATCCGTCTTATCAAATTAAATGTTAGGTTATTACCCAAACCTTTCTTCTATTTTAATATATTTTATTTTCATTCATCCAACAATTCATGAACCGTCAACTCAATAATTATAACTTTTTTTTTACTAAATTATATTACATGCCTCGCCTTTTTTGTTGGTCAAAAATATTACTTGCCTCACCTTAAACGAACATAATTTTTTATTTTAGACAGGAGACACTCAATCGTATTGTGAGATTGATTTAATTTGAATAAATTATTGAAGATAGCTCAATTTGATCAGCAGAGAGGAGGGCGTGAAAGTCGCCTATAAACTCAGCGCATGAAGGCGTAAGATATATATATATATATATATATATATATATATATGGGGCAAGTGATGACTTTATTGTCAATCAGATGCCAACGTAATCAAAAATCATAAAATTTGGTGATTGCAATAAAGAAGGGGGGGTTGTTGAGAAAATCATCAGAGTATACAATGAATCACTCGCACGTACGTAATGGAATTGGTGTGGGCGCACATTACCCGTTGGTGGAATATAAAAGAGGGAGTGAGCAATGAAAACAGAAAGTGATGATCAGAGGAAGAAGGGAAAGTACCTTCAATCGTTAAAACTGGTGTCCCATGACTTTAAGTATTGGTTTTTGTGGACCGGACGGTTCTGGTTGGTTCCAAGTTGCGATTCAAAAACACGAATAAAGATTTTCTTTTATTTATTTATTTAATGGAAAGAAAGAGAAAGAAAAGGGGGGGGGTGTGACGGCTATGAGATGAGGGCGGTGTATCCCTGAGAGAGGCTGACCGTCTTACAAGAGAGGATGCGTGCGGCTGGGCGTAATGAGGATATGGCATAGTGATCAGAAGGGGCATGGCCACTTTATAGGCGAAAGCGACCTTACTATTTGGATGGCTAAGACCTCTCATATATGCATGTGATGTGCATATATGAGAGGTCTTAAATATAGCTAAGACCTCTCCAAAACTAATGCCGCAAAAAAATATAGCTGCCCTTCAATCTTTTATTTATTTATACACTGGCTTCCTTACGTTTCTTTAAATGTGGGTTTGAAAGCTCAGTTGCTTTTGCTGTTGGCAAATTGCAATATATTTGATGCCGTGTTTTCTTTTAAAATACTACCTCCCGTCCTTAATATAAGATCCCGTTAAATTTTTATTTTGATTTTACATATAAGACCTTAATCCACTTTGTCTCTTATATTTATTTATTTTTTTTCAAGGTAATCCCTGTAGTGATGGTAATTTTAGCCAATACAATTGATTAGCAAGGAAAGACAATACCTATTTATTACAAATAACCAATTTAACTAATTTTCTTACTCTATCCAAATTGGTCAAATAACTCTATATACTAAACATGAGACAGAGTCGGTGGGGTGAAAAGTCACCGTCGAAATGTGGATTTGGGCAGAGCGGGGGATAATCAAGACGACGTATATATGGAAAATGAAGAGTGTATCAATAATCAAACTATATAACCCGGCCAAAGAATCTCAAGATCAGCAAGTTATTATTTTATCTACAAAACTCCATCATCTGGGATATATGGACAGGCTAAAGTTCTCGCAACTTGTCGGTTCGTCACGCGTCTATATTGCCATAGGCGTTCCTTTTGCGGTGCAAATGCCAGAAGCCAAACTCAGCCGCAGAATATTTTTACATCTACTGTTATATACGTACATACATATTCTGTTAGATGATGGTTTTAGCTTTGAATCAAAATATTGTGCGGTAGCCAAACACGACCGTTTTCATACGTTTTTGTTCTTCCTCGATTTCAAATACATGGCATATAGAGCTGATATAGCTGAAGTGTCTGAAATTAAAATGGAAGGCGTTTCTGATTAAAACAGTGAAACCGCAAAACAAATCCTGCGAGCAAAAGCAACAAGCGGGTATCAAAATACGCGGAATAGGAGGGCGGTATGGGGTATTTCTGTCTTCAGCATTCGTCGCCATGAATGCTCCAAACTCTCTCAATAAAGCCCAACACATTCAGCTGACATTATTGTTGCCGCTCGTTTTGGCTACATAGTCAAACAATAAAAATATACAAATATTATGGTTAATATCATTTTACAATTTAATCATAATCTTGTTTTTGGTCCTTCTAATTTTATAAAATTTCGGCGTGAGTTTAAATATGAGGATGAAGATCAAAACTCATTGAAAGTAGAAGAATTATTGGTTAAATTCAAACAAAAAAAAATCCATAGATTGGAATCAAAGTCAATATTTGATGAAGTTATAAGAACTAACAATAACATCAAAATATTAATTTAAACATTAACAAATGTTCCGTGGTTCTTATTGCAGAGGGCAGCGCCAAAAGCATGACATTTGCAGAGGCAAGAGAAGTCGGTTTTTACAAAGGTCAAAGGAGACTAACTAGGAGAGAGGTTTATTTTATTTAGTTTACTTAAAAGGGTAACAAACGTAGTTTGCCAAAAGAGGGAAAATTCCAAAAGGTTTCCGAAGCCCCAGGTTGTCCCCACAAAACCACTTATGACGCTCATCTCATCCCTATATATCTGCCTCCTTCCCCGCTCTGTGCTTTGTCCCTCAGATTCGTAGCACAAGACTGCACAACCCCTTGAATTCTCCTCCTTTCTCATTCGACTCAATTCGGTGGATGCAGAGTTAGATACAGATCCTGAATCCCATGGCTCCTCCATCGTCTTTCCGGCTTGATTCTAACCCAGCTATGCAATCCCACAATCTCCGTCGTCAGCTTAAACAGGACCCTCATCTCTCTGCTACCTGCATCCGTAGTCTGGTGAAACAGTTAGCCCCCTCCAGATCAAAAGACTCCATGCACCCTGACCTTTCCCCGCCTCCGAATTCTACCACACAAGGCGAAGTTTCAGATGCTTCACCCACTCAAAAATCCACACACCGCCGACCACATAAAAGACAAGTTCGCAGGAGACTCCACCCCACTAGGCCCTACCAAGATAGGCTTCTGAACATGGCAGAGGCTAGGAAGGAGATTGCTACTGCCCTCAAATTTCACAGAGCTTCCATGAAACAAGCCACCCAACGCCCACAACAAGAAGCCAAACAGCAGCAGCAGCACCCGACAGTACCCATCCTTCCACCGCAACACCCGTGTTTTGCGCAAGACGGAGGAATTATGTCTCAGAGAAATCCCAGAATATACCCATCATGCACCAACAATTTCTCGAATCTCGTGGATGATTTTTCCTTTTCGTCTTTCTCTCATCCTGCTCTGTCTCTTCCAAATCCCCCGAACTGGCCCCCCGCCTCCCCAGCTGCTCCACCGCGAATGGCTGGAAACCTCAGTTACAACCTTCCTAATCGCCCTTTGGGATTGAACCTCAATTTTCAGGATTTCGTCAACTTAGATGCTCCTCTTTACGTCGATAACAACAACGCGTCATTTTATTCGCACTCATCTTCATCATCATCTTCTCCTTCACTTTCTGTGTCAGCTGATCAGGAAGTTCCTTCGGTTGCAATATCACAGGGAGAGGGAACCTCTGCTCTGGCGGATGCTATTGACTCCATTGCTGCCACTCAGGTTGCTGGAGGTAAACATACAGCTATGGGCGACGAAGGAATGGCGGAGATCGGATCGCGGGGAGAGCGATGTCAAGCAGAATGGAACGACACTATGAATTGGGTCACATCAGCACTGTGGCCCAAGTTCATGAAGAACGTGGAACATCTGGCCACCGAAGAGGATGCCGCACACCCTATTTTTGATGGACCCATGGAGTTTCCAGACTGGTTGAATGCAAATGAGAGGTGCTTTGAACAGTGCTCGGAGCAATCCGTCTTAGATCCTACTTTACCTTGGTAAGTTTAATGCAAACTCTCAGATTTTGGCATTCGTACATTTGATTAGGAAGTATTTCTTGTTGGTGCGCGCTGAGGGAAAGGAAGTTTTCGTCTGTTCTTCTTCACGTAGTAAGGATTTGTTTCTCATGAGTCATGACTCCGTTTCATTTTTTTTCCTTCGTTCCTTCAAAGGAATTGGCCGATTTATTCTAAATAGGTTTCTGATGACCTTAATGCCGGAAAGTATTAGTATGGTAATGAGTCTAAGATAGAAGTAACCCCCCCAGCCTGGTGAAACTGAACTAACAACACATAACATTGAACTGGATTATGTTAATTTGACAATGATTCAATGAAGCAGTGACCGTCAGGCTGCATGGTATGCTTACGAGCTCCAATTTTATTTGGGTACAATTTGTGTAGCCCAACATAGCTTAATGGGCTCCACTGTCTTGAATGGGCTTTTTTCTCGGCCTGAAATGGACTTTCACAAGTTTTCGTAATCTTAATGCGCGCGAAGTACGGTTCAGGGGAAGAATAGGAACCTTCAATACTGAAAATTATTTAGTCTAACCATGTTGATGAAAGAAAGGAGTTTATTTTATTCCCATATCCTTTTTCTGGTTCTGGACTTTGAACATCTACTAATCATTTTCTTTTCCATGACTTTGGACACACATTACACAGCATGGACATAGGCGATTTTGAAGGTGTGGGCGAAGAGTGGCTAGCATGACAAAGGCTTAATTTCTGGATGAAGATTTGTTAGCATGGCAAGGATTAGCCTTCCTTTTATGCTGGGTTAAATTTCAGTGGATTGTTTTTGGCTATTCCTAGCCCCCCCCCCCCGGCTCTTATGAATAAGGTTTGCTCTGGCTCAGAAAACTGAGGCAAGCCGCATTTATATAATACCTGGAGAATAACATTTTTATCAATTTTTCTCCTTCTTCTTCATTTCTTATGTTTATGTAGAAATTGTCATTTTGACAGTGAAAACGGGAAGGGAAAAAAAAGGGTGAACATGGTTAATTCGTCTAAAACAATAAAGACAATCATAGTCGAAAGCCTCTCGTGTATTTGGACCAGTCACACATGATCGTCTCTCCTGAACTGTAACGCTACAATCACTGTGTCGCATATATAAATATTATATATTCTTCTGTCCTATTTATGAAGCACTTCTAACATGTTTCACACAGACCCAGAAAAACCTTAAATTACATTAACTCTTTATTAAAATATAGTAACTTTTCAATTTTACCCCTATTTAATATATACTCCTTTCAAAAATAATAACTATCTACACTATAATAAATGAAAAACAATATGGTATATGCACAGTAAAAATTTAATAAAATAATTTATAAATAGGACACAAAAAAATCTCTCTTTGCCCTGTAGATAGGACCAAAGGAGTACATATTTAAACACCCCCGCGTTGCACGGCGGGTCAGCATATATACTATAAGTATGTGCTAGTGATCCACTATCAAATATACCCAAAAGTTCGAAGAGAACAGGTTTTGATCCAATCATGTCTTTAACAGATGTTTGGTTCAATGCTCAATTTTACTAATCTGATATCATTCAATGGATCTCTGAGTTGCAAACGTTTTGGAACCTCAGACCCCCTTTTTTTTTTTTCCCGGCCAACGGAATCCTCAGACTTGTTTGTTGGTCATGTATGGATAGTAGCAAGGCCATTAACAGGTGAATGCCGCGCGAAGGGCACTGAATTCTCATTTATGAAGAAGTTGGAGATAGTTGAATATCATTATATTGGTGGGCTACATATTCATTGAGACATACCCCATCAACATATCCATACCTCACACAGTTGGGAGGTGCCCTCCGCTACATTTAATATTGAGATCCGTACGGACACGTTGACTGGTGATTCTTCCGCGTCTACACATGAGCTCAGATAGGCAGATAATATATTCTGATTTTTTTTTAAATCAAAATTTTCTCATATGGCTAAACTATCAAATTGGTTTTCATTCTTTTTTTGCTATTGAAATAGAACTAGATCTGACTGTCTAAATCATGTCAAATACAGTCCGACACTTTCACCTGCAAACCAAAAACTTCGAATTCTTCAGGAATTTATGTTTTGTTTCAAAATTCATGTTGATAGTGAAGACAGGGACACTGACAACATTGGTGGATTGACTTCATATAGTCTTTCATTTAACTTTGATAACTACTACAAACAGAGACAGAGAAACAAGCAGGTCTATGTCACAGTAGTAGTATACAGTAACGAAGTAGAAAATGCAACAGTTAAGATCAACCACAAAATGAATGACTGCCAATACTGATAGATAGATCATAGTACTTGCAGTTGCTCAACGAGGATGTGTGTTAGACAGGGGATAACGGTCGATGCAATCGAGCCAAGGGTTGTTAGAAGGCTTCTTGATTCGGCGCATGGAACGCCAAACCACACTGTTGCACTTGAACCCAGAGCCAAAGGCAAGTTGCCAGACACGGTCTCCTCTTCTGACCCTTTCCTTGGCCTCCAAGTAAGCGAGCTCATACCATATGCTGCTGCTGGATGTGTTGCCAAAGCGGTTCAGAGTCATCCTGGAGGCCTCCATGTTGTGGTCACTCAGTTCCAGGTTTCTCTGAAGCTCATCAAGAATGGTCTTGCTCGCAGCATGCACACAGAAATGCTCAAAAGCCAGCTTGTAGTCTGGAATATATGGCTTCCGTGATGATGCTGAATTATTACCCCCAAATAAGTACCTCCATACTAGTGTGCCAAAGAAGAGAAGCTGCTCAGAAAAGGGTAGCACCAGGGGTCCTAGCGTTGTGATGTTGGTTTTCAGAGCATCTCCGCCAATCTCAATTAGCTTTTTGCTAACCTTTAGCCCCTTGAATTTTTGTGCATCCTCCTCTTGGTACACACAACTACAGTAACCAGCGTAATATACTTGTTATTATGGTAAATTTGCAATGGTTCCTTTAGGGATGTAAATGATCAAGAAAGAAGAATGCAAACAAATTTGAAAGATGTCATTGGAATTTTACTCCAGGGTCCAAAAGTCTCTTAGATGGTCCATGAGAAAGCTATAGTTATGGTGGGCTAGATATATCACCACGCATTGAACTCTATTTAATTATTTCTGGTTTCCATGCACATGTTCGCACGAAACCTTCATACCTAGTAATTGTTACTGGTCCATTTTGTTCTCTCTTTCTTCACTCAACACTTTACTTTATGCCGTTCCACCATAAATTAGAGTGAAATCCGAAACTACTTAATTGCTTCCTTTCGTGAAAAGCGTGTCATTATATACAGTTGATGTAACAGAATATGCAATGGAGATTAATAGTAAGAGCCAAGAGAATTAGAATTACGAACCTGAAGCTGCGATCATCGGCACCTTTATGAGTGCGAACAATATGTTCGAGGCGGTACTTGGCACGCCTATAGTCACGACGACGATTGGAGAGCAAAATAGCAGAGCAACCCATACGAAAGAAACAGTTTGGAACGAGCATGGATCTTTCTTTGCCCTGGTACCAATTAAATCCCACCATCTCGGTGCTGACCACTAGGGCATAATTATTTGGGTTGGATTGAAGCATGTCTCTTGCTAAGTCCACTGCTATAATCCCAGCACTGCAACCCATCCCACCAAGGTTATAGCTCAACACGTTTCCTCTCATCTTGTAGTGGTTTATGATCATCGCCGACAACGACGGTGTAGGGTTGAAGATGCTGCAGTTCACTACCAAAACACTCACGTCTTTAGGACGAACTCCGGTTTTCTCGAACAGCTCGTCCAGTGCCCCGAACATAACCATGGACGCCTCAGCTCGACCTTCCTTCATTGTTGCGCTGCTTTCACTTGACCTGATCACTTCCTTCGGGATGTAAGTCTCGTCCCCGATCCCTGACGACATCAGCATCCTCTTCTGGAACTCTAGACTCTCCTCATCAAACTTGCCTGATCTTCTTGCCACCTCAATGAATTCCTCCCTCGACACCTGCACACATACGACACAATTCAACTATACAGCTTATGAACTTAACCTATATATGTGCTTGTGTGAGGATATTAAAGGGTTGCTTTTAACCCCATCACTGTCTGCATTACTGGGAGAAATCAGAGCATAGTAATGAAAATAAGGAGTGGTTATTCACCTTGAGGTCGTCGTTGGGTTTGTAGCAAGCAAAGTCTATGAGATATATGGAGCGAGGCCTTGACATGAAGTAGACGGAGAGGGTGAAAACGAAGACGCCGGAGAACGCGAGGACAGTGGCAAGGTCGCAGCGGGCGTCTTGCCAAAGCTTCTTCCATAGCTCTTCTTTGCTGAGGCTGCCGACCTCGGCGCTGAAGACCAGCAAAAGCACAGGAATGGTGACCAAGTAAATGCCATGGGTTATCAGATAGTGGTAACCCAGCTTCACGTATTTGAGGTTTACTGACTGAAGAAAGTCCGGCAGCCGTCTCCTCACCCTCACCGAGAACGTCAGAGAGCCAGCATTGGGTCCTGATGATTCGATTCCGCGGTTTACAATCTCAGTGGAGAAAAGATCACGTTCACTGGCCATGGCTTCGGGTTTGCTGTTAGGAAGTATCACCGGGTGGCTTTTGAAAAGATGAAAAACGGGGTGAAAATTATATCTGGGTGTATAAATAGAACTAATGATCAGTGGGTGCTGGAGACTAGTTAATGCTGGCACCGAAGTCGTGGTTGAGTCGTTGAGGGATTCAAGTAACAGCATTAATTTCTTCAATGAATGTAGTTGGTGCCTCTTTTATCCTCTGCCTCTCTTCAAAAGCTAATTAAAAATGATGAAGAGTGAAATTTTGGGTCATCTATATGTCGAGACAGTTTAATTAGAAAGAATCATAATATT